GTGATGTAGGTTCAGGTTCTCAACATCCAGATCATGCATAGATTAATTTTTTGATCTCCAGTTCAGCAGACTCAGTGGTGAGTCCTCATTTTTCGAGGACAAAAGTCATGAGTTTCTTTTCAGTATTTAGTCTTTTAGTTTCAGTTTTTGCTAGATTTAGCTGGGGCTTGTCCTAGTATTTCTAGTCTAGTTTAGAGGCTTATTACAGACATAGTTTCAGCTTAGTGTTGAGTTAGTAACTTCATCGTATTAAACTCACCAATCTTCATATTATATCAGTTTTAGCATAAGGGTATTCCCTATCTTTTTATTATAAATTTTGATTTAGCTTTCGCATCAGTTTATTATCTTTAGTATGCTCATGATCATGCCAGTAGGGTTATCTTGGGATCACTTACGGTTCTAAGTTCCGTGTCCGCGTCCGGGGGGCAGCTCGGGGCGTGACAGATTCATTGAAAATTTAATCTTTTGTTTCTTCACATCAAAGATGTATCAGATCTTCAATTTTTTCCTCAATTCATCGATCTCTAACTCGTCTGCAATGACTGGTTTGAGATTCACAAAATTAATATTTTAGCCAACAATAATATTGTCACTTTTGTATCGTTCATACCTCACTTCACATTCTCATATTGTGTAATGTCTCAACAAGATCGATAGGTTTATGTTGTATCAGTACAATTTGTCAATAAGTTTAAAAGATTCTTCGATGAACAAGGAGAAGAAATTTGAATATTAATGTGTTGATTTTGTAGGACCCAATTCGTCTCTCCATATTTATTGTATCAATGGTTCTTTCTTAAACTTCACTTCATGAAATTTGGTAACTGGAACACCTAGTGTATTCTTCATCTGCACAAAAAGTTGACTTTATTATTGAATTCCAATTGTAGCAGTATTTCCCTCTCTTTCATCAACAATTAAATTTACAAAATTGTTCCTTGAAAATTGATTTGACCCACTGCTAAATCCACCAAAACAAGTTCTTATCTCTTTGTTATGCTTTGAACGATTTTTTATACTCGACAATTTTGAACTGATGATTTGAAATCGTGAATCGTATGTCCAATCATCAACAATGATGGATTTGAGATTCAAGATTTAAAATTGATAGAGAAGATGATAATCTGATTTTTGAATTTTGTGAAATTGTTACGGATTGGAATGGATTGATATCAATTATTAATGCATAATTTGTGGGAAAGAAAATCAATTCTGCGTGATTTGTTGGGAAAAAATTAATTTTATGTTATTGTTCCATATTAAGCGCAATAGACATTGTTTTATAATGTATCACAATTAATGTATCCGGATGAAACTTATGTACCCGAATGAATGATATTTTAAGAGATTTTTGTGAAAAAAGAAAAAATAAGGATAAAATGTAATTTAGGTCTTACACTATGAGTTTATGTAAGTTATACAATAATAAATACTCTTATTTTTTCAATTTATTTGTTGTACTTCTGTTTTTATTCAGTTTAATATAGAATGTTCTTTTTGTTGGGAGTGAGGACGCATATTTAAGACCACAAAGTTATATAACATATTTATATATTTTATTTACATATGATCCTTGAATTAAAAGTCTTCTTTAATTTTTAAAATTTTGTCTCAAATTAAAATTAGACCAATCTATATCGATCTTTTTTTTATTTTATACTATCTCAAAAGAATAAACTAATAACTTAAACGTTTAATTATTATAATACCCTCAACTTAAAACACCAAATATAGTATATCTTCTATATTTTATATTGTATTATATTTATTTATGTGTATTATATTATAATAAACGTAGAAAAACTTACCATTGAAGGGTTGTTATATTTTTTAAGAGTTATAACTAAAATGATGAGTTGTGACTTTTCTGTAGGGTTGCGACTTTTTTGAAGAGTTTTGACTTTTCCGAGGGATTGTAACTCCAAAGAGTTTTGATTTTTGAAGGATTTTGACTTTTTTGAAGATTTATGACTTTTACGATGAGTTTTGACCTTTCTAAAGGGTCGTGACTTCTAAAGGGTTGTGACTTCTTTTTGATAAGGCACCACAAGTTGTTTTTCGTACACTACCCTTAGTTGGTTGTAAAAAGAGGGACTTCATCAAATTTTTAAACTACATTTAAGAAGTATTATTATTATTATTATTATTATTATTATTATTATCATTATTATTATTATTATTATTATAACTATTGCTATTATTCTTGAAACACTCAATTTAGTATATCTTTTATATTTCTACGATAAGAAATAATATGCACATACTAATACTACACAGTTTAAACTATAAATGGAGAGGTTTTCTCACAATTTTACTACGATTTTTTAAAGTTATTTTTTAATTAAAAATATTCATAATATTATTTAACAATAGTGTGGTACATGCTTTGATTTTCACGTGCAACACACGTGCGTAGAAACTAATATATATATATATACATATACATATATATACATATACATACACACACATATACATACATATATATATATATACATATATATATATATATATATAACACCTCCACACAATTTAACATGGGACACACGTGCAACGCACTTGACCAAGACTATCATATATATAAAATAAAAAACCCTAGATCCGCTTATGTGGCGCCACTATAAACCAAGATTTTTGATGTAAAGTTATGACTTTTATGAACAGTTGTTGCGGTTTTTATAAAAAAAATTGCGACTTGTGCGAAAGGTTGTGACATTTCGAAGGGTTGCAACTTTTTAATAATTGTGACCTTTCCAATAATAGATAGATTTTCTCTCATTTTAACGCAACGAAAATTATGAACTACTATTTTCTCTGTACAATTAAATATTTGTGTACTCCGCTCTTGTTGAGTGGCTCACTGACACCATTGTTTTTGTATCAAACCATTGGTAAATAGAGTCGTTCAATTCTAAGAGAATCTATTTCTTTGAATATGGAGTACTATAAGGGTAATATTTTCGACAAAGGGATATTTGCATTCAGTGAGACCGATTTTTTTCTGTCTATTTATTCTATTGTTACAGATCTTGATATTTTTTTAGGGCATCTCCAACCCAATCCTCTAGTTGACTCTCCAAATATAGAGTTTTCTATTTTTCGAGACAACCAACTTCAACCCAATTCTCTATTTTACTATTGATTTAAAAAAGAATCTTTTTCTCTGTCCTTAATATTATATTATTATTTCTATTTCACTTTTATTTTCTTATTTCATAATATAAATCCTTTATTTTATTTCCAAATAATTACTTTATTTATTTTTTAATGTGATATAAAATTATATTTTTTTTCTAAATTTTTCAATAACATAAATTGCAAGAAAATATAATATAATACATAAATTAAGGGACAAATTCAAATAAAGTGACATATAATTACATAAACACTCAATTTTCAAAATCATTATGTTGCTCCCATAAATGCTCTATTAATGCATCAAGGAGTTCAATATGAGCATTTTTGTCCTTAATTTTTTTATGTCTAGCTAAACATCGTTCAAATCAAAGATTTTCATCTACCACAATTTCTATAGTAGGAGTTGAAGCCTCTACGACATCTTGAATTGGTGTATTGAGATCACGTTCATCCTCAATTATAATGTTGAGCAGTATAATACATGTAGTCATTATATCATGTAGCAAATTCTTTCTCAAAAAATGTGACGGTCCTGCAATAATTGCAAAATATGATTGCAAAACTCTGAATGCACGTTCAACATTTTTTAGGCACGATTCTTGTTTCATCGCGAGATATTTCTTCTTTTGGGAATGAGGATCACAAATAGTTTGAACTATTGTAGACCATTTATGATATATACCATCAGCTAAGTAATAACTCATACTGTATTCTTTTACTTGAATAACATAATGGGCGGGAGAAGCAACACCGCTAGCAAATTTGGAAAATAAATGTGATTACTATTAAACATTAATATCGTTGTTGGTGAGACAAACCAAAATAAGCATGTTAGTAGACTATATAGATATATCAACCAAGGAATTTTGAGACAAAACTAAAATTTTATTAAAATTTTTAGAAATTATTAGTGATCCAAATGTTTGTGATTACCTGCAACGAGAACAACAACGAATACTTGAAAAAAGAAATCGTCAGTGACAATCGCAATCACAACCACAATCGCAACAACTTTTGGAGTCATATCCTATGTTTTTTTCCGAATAGTGTTAGATCTGGAAATGGAATTACTAAATTATTGTTGTGACCAATTAATTATTATGTTATGTTATGTATGTGTTATGCATTATATTGTATTGTTATCTTGTATTCAAATTATTATGTTATGTGTTGTATTGTTTTCTTTTATTGAAATTATCATATCACGTATTGTATTTTTAATTAAACTTTTCATCTTGTCATTTTAATGTTGTGTATTCTTTATGACAAAAATTAATAATAAAATAAAATTAAGAAAAAAAATAAAATAAAATTAATTTGAATTAAAGTAGTATAAATTAAAAAAATATTTCTTAAAATATTATATTACATTTAAAAAAGAATTATGAATATTAAATATTTAAATAATGAAATTATATGTAAAATAATATGTTAATTAGAAAGTAATAGAAATAATAATAAAATAACGAAAAAGTGAATAGAGAGTGTTAATAGAGTTTGGAGAACTACTATTCACCTCTTTATAAATAGAAAATAGAGGGTGATTTGGAGGTGGGTTGGAGAGAACATTCTCTATTTTAGTCTTCAAATATAGAGAATGAAGAATAAAATAGATGTAGATTGGAGATGGTCTTACGCTCATTAATTTTTACTTATATTTTTAAAGATAAATGATAAAATATTATAATTTTTATTTTTTTTATATTATTAATGATTATTATTATGTAATCTTATATGTAAGATAATATAATTTTTAGCTCATCGATATATTATATTTTATATATTATTTTATAAATTTCTTATGGATAATTTTATCGGTCCAAAATATAAGAAATTTTTTTGAAGGACGCCAGTAAATAGCAATTGTCGGATCCGTGGAGCGGAAGTGGAACAAACGGACTCCGTAACGGCATTTGCGAAAACTGAAAATCACATAGGCTATTTATTCATCATCAAGTTGAAGCCACCGTTTTATAACAGTGTGACATTCGGGAACGAAATTAAATGCCTTAAACGAGGTATCAATTCATCCTAATTCAATGCAAATCATTTTCAATAATACCACAGCACAGATGAATTCTCCGGCGACTCTCCGATATCTCAGCACTAGTTCGAGCTTTAGGAAACCTAATTTCTTTGCTAAACAGTTAGTATTCAATGACAAGTTGCCTTCAAGCTGCAAATTTCCGCCCAATCACAAGTCTTTCAAATTGATTACTGCTAACACTTTCTTCAGAACCAAGATTCCGGTTCGGAGTAATCGAATACGAACTTCTTCCAATGATTCTCAATCAGTACAGCAACAAGGGAGCTTTGTGGAGTTCATCACTTCCGAGAGAGTGAAAGTTGTGGCAATGTTAGCCTTATCTTTGGCTTTATGTAACGCAGATAGAGTTGTTATGTCAGTGGCTATAGTTCCCCTATCTCTTTCTCATGGTTGGCGTCAATCTTTCGCTGGCGTTGTTCAGGTACTTTCATTCATTTTTTTCTACTCCACACACCAATTAAATTAATTGCATTATAGTAAATAAATTTGGAAATTGCTCACATGGATGGTTGTGGATTTAGTTAGGGTAAATATACATATTTTTATGAATATAGGTAAAAAGTTTATGTTAGCTCAATTGCAAGAATCAGTGAAGATATTTGGATTGAGATGAACTGCAGAAGAACAGCTTAAGAACAATTAGAAGAATTAGAGAAGAAGAGAGATTTAGAGAATGAGAACAATGATTTGTATATTGATTGATCTGAAGTGTACATATGAGATGTGTTTATATATAACTATAGTAGTGACTTATTCAGCCTAATTCTCAACTAACTCTATGAGCAGTAGTTCAATGGAACAATAATCAACAGTAATTGTAATCTACTGACATGACCAACACTAAGTCTAATTAGCTGATTAGTGTAACAGTTTATCTCTTATATCTTACATCAAACTTACAAGAACATCACATCTTAAATTCATGACCGCTCCAAGTGTGAATATGTTAGACTGCTTGTATATAAACTTGCAAGTTCAAAATTCTGGCTTGGAAAATGAAGTTCATTGGCCAAGCTGAAGAAGCATTCTCTTGACTAAAAGAAAGAAAGAAATAAGTCAACTACGATAATTCTGTCTACATTGGCTAGTGTCAAAGCTGACTTTCTTTGATTTTCATCAGCAATGCAAGTCAATCAACCTTTTCTCCTTTTACTTAACATGGTTTTTCGTCTCCTTGATTTCTTGAAGAGATCCAAGCTTAAAATGAATTATTATGTGACCTTTTCGATGATATCAAGTCACTCATCTTTTATGTTGCTATCTTTTTCTCTGAAATATTATAGGGTGGATATGCTGTAAGTTCGCTTTGATTCATAAAGTCAATTTTTACCTCAGATCCTAGGCGTCTACCTAGTTAGGATTCAAGTCAGAGCTCTTGTGAAAGTATTGTCAAGGTGTAAAGAAGAGGGAGGGTTTATATGAAGTAGATCAGTTAGTAGATTTCCTAGGCTCTTTGTATTCATGATTACTTGCCTTGTAATTTTTGTTTGGTTGCGAGGTTCCCTCATTGCGGATGAGTACAGCTTTACCATTCTCAAAAGTAAAATAAATTATTATCAAGGTGTGGAAATGCTTGTCTTATATGATAAGCTGATTTCATTAATTTTAGTTCCAAAGTTAATTTTCTAAAAGGAAAAAAGGTGATGTCCTCTGTTTTAGTCTAGGTTTATCAGAACCCTCGTATTAGATTGTCATCTAACATTTTATGTTTTCTGTTCACTTCTTTCCTTTCTTTTATTCTGGGTAGGGTGGGGGTGTGAATGGGAGGAATTAAATGTGACAAATCTAAGGGTACAAATCTGATATTCACACGGTCTGTTTTAACAATCTATGAAAGCTAATAACTCATAAATCAAATTAAAACGAACACCTTCCCCATGGCCCACCATACCATCTATAATCCATGGAGGGTGTGGGGGAGAGCTTTCTTAATTTCCTTCTCAAGGTCCAATGGCTCACATGCAGCGGCACCTCTCATTGGGCAACCAACATGTGGTAAATGCCAAAAACTTTTCATAGACTTATATTGAACACTTTTGACGTACGCGCTATAAGTGCGAAAAAACTTCTTATAAATTGTTAGGTAGAAAAGGGCAATAAATCCCGACCATTCAAACTCATTTGGGTTGGACAGTTGCTGAAAATTGTTATTTTTTTCGGTGCTCTTATTTTCTGATGTAAAAATTTGAAAACTAAACTATTTTCTCTCCCAAAAACCTGATGTTGGACATCTAAATGCAGTTTGAATTTGATTGTGTGAGTCTTTTATGGTAAAGCATTTTCCGGATAAATATGCATTTCTTGAATTGAGCCAAAGAACTAGATTTTCAAGGTACTGACCGATTTCTGAATTCATGTGTTACTACAGTAGCTATAGTAACATACGGAAAAAAATCTTTGACTTGAAATGAAAGAAATCGACTAAAAATCATGTTTCCACTTCTGTACTGACCTTGCATTTGATATTTAGTGTTCTGATTGATAAATAGTTACTAATGGCAGTCATCATTTCTCTGGGGATACCTGATCTCGCCAATAGCCGGGGGGACTCTGGTGGATTACTACGGAGGTAAGTTAGTGATGGCATGGGGTGTGGCTTTATGGTCCATGGCCACACTTCTAACTCCTTGGGCAGCAGAAGTATCATTATGGGCATTACTTGCCATGAGGATGCTGCTAGGAATTGCCGAAGGGGTTGCTCTTCCTTGCATGAATAATATGATTGCAAGGTATTGAAGTCGAGAAACTTTTGAATTTATAATATGGTCTCTATGATATACTAAATAGTTCTAATAGTAGTCTGTAGAACTGAAAGATCTGGTTTAACATGTTGCTTTAAAACTGGTGCTTTTCCCTGTAGATGGTTTCCTCCTACTGAGCGCTCAAGGGCTGTCGGACTTGCCATGGCTGGTTTTCAGCTTGGAAGTGCTATTGGACTTACCTTTTCTCCTATACTTATGTCACAAGGTGGCCTATTTGGACCATTTGTGATATTTGGCTTGTCCGGATTCCTATGGGTTTTAGTGTGGGTTTCTGCTACCTCTAGTACTCCTGAACATAGTCGGCAAATATCCATTCATGAATTGAGGTATATACAGAACAAAGGGCAGATACACAATATCGTTGAGGGTAAATCAAAATCAAGTAAAGGGATCCCTCCTTTCAGGCGTTTACTCTCCAAACTACCGACATGGTCTATAATTGTTGCAAATGCCATGCATAGCTGGGTACACATATTTATCTCTAATAGTATAATTATAACTCTATGAATGCAAAATTGTCTACTTCTGTGCTAGCTTGCTTAATTTTATAGAGGTGCTAGTCTACATTGCCTTATCAAGAAATCCACATCTTATTGGATCAAGGATTTGTAAAGCACCGTCATATTACGTGTAAATATTACAAGTTATTGATATCCTGAAGGAAATTCACTTTGTTTCAAATTATTGAGTTTCATAACATGCTGAAGGTACTTATATGTCTCCTCTTAGTGCAATACATATTTACAATAGACCCTTGCAGTCAAGCCTTTCCCCGGACCCCACACATAGCTAGAGCTTTAGTGAGCTGAGCTGCCTCTTCTATTTCTAAATATCTGTCGACGTCTTTTGGTTTGCTAAATTTTAAAAATTGTGAGCAAGTCTCATGCCTCTAGCCTAGACACTAGGCGTCACCGATACTCGATGCCTTCGCTGGCCAGAACAAACCCATATCATGGCATAAACATAGAACATACATCTAGACATGAGCAGAATGCATTATTTAAAAGAACTGGAGTGATTCGTTTAACATAAGGGAATAAGTCTTGTAAATAAAATATTTTTCATAAATCATTGTTTAAGTTCGTGAAGCAGCACGTAGGTCAAAACTGCAATACAGGTCATAAGAGTATACTAGATGACCATCTATAAGCCTCTAAAATGACTGAATAAACTGTTTATCGGGATGAGGCTCCCACCCTAGCCATACGCTTAACCAACCGAATGGACTTACTATATAGTCTAAGAACTAATGGAGCGCACCAAGAGCTGGAACATAAAACTTAACATTCTGCTCGACCATCTTGAATACCTGATTCTACATCTTTCAAATGCAACACCCTCGACAATAGGTAAGTACATATGGAATTGAACTGTATGTAAGATGGCTTAATGAAACGTGATGTGAACTGCATGATTGAAGATCATCAGTAAAACATAGAGTAAACGGATCATAACTCAAAAAGAAGTCTTTTCTTATCATAATTAACTCTACTTCTTAGGTTAACCCGACATAACCACCATGGAAATACATGGAGTCTGATCTCGGCCTGATTAACTAAGTTGCCTCATACCTTGTTGGATATAAAACATACATAAATGATTTGCTAGCAAAGGATCCATAGATGCTCTTCGGAAAACATGAGGATTTACCCAAATCAACGAAACGTTCCTAAACCTACCACGGAAAATGTAGTTTTGGGCATTCATTATTTGAACTCATCCTTCTCAATGTTAACCATTACTAAAACTTGCCCTGAATAGCTTTAAGCTCATATATCATAATTTGGTGAAATGCCCATTAAAAAAATGTTTAGCTTGGAAACCCCATAAGTCATGACGTGAATCATGTGTATATATTGTAGGGATTATGAGAGATACATGTTTGGCCTAAAATCCCATAAGTCAGTTCATAAATCATATTGTTGAGCCTAGACTTAAATCACAGTTCATAAATCATATTGTTGGAGCCTTGGCTCAAATCATAGTTCATAAATCATATTGTGAAGACTTGGGTCAAATCGTATAGATTTTTCTTTTATAAGCAACTTCTTGAAAGAAATTGTGAGAAATTTGAAGAAAATATTATTGATTGTGAATTTTCATTATTACATAGAGAACCCTATTTATAGACACTATAATAAGATTCTTACCATGTAGGATACTATAAACTATTCCTATTCTGTGTAAGGTTGTGTAAACCTTTCTCATTCTAACATAAATCATTAAAATTGTCTTTGAAGGAAAAAAATCATATTTTCAATTTTCATAAACCATACTTAGTATCAAAATTGTGGAGTTCATTGAATCGAATAATTATGAGCATATACATATAATTCATACATGAGTTCAAATTAAATTTACATGAACGGACATCACTGAATTCATAGGATATCCCTTATTGGTTCATGAATGGGAATTCATGGAAAACATGAATTTTTGTACTCCCTTTGTTTCAAAAAGAATGTCCCTATTTCCGTTTTAGTTTGTTTCAAAAAGAATGTCCCCTTTCCTTTTTTGGCAACACTTAAACTTTAAATTTCCACGTGGCATGTTTAAGACCACAAGATCAAAGGACATTTTGGTACTTTGACATAACTTTAATTTAGAACCACATGATTAAAAAGTATTCTTTCTTTTCTTAAACTCCGTTCCAAGTCAAACTAGGTCATCCTTTTTGAAACGGAGGGAGTAAATAACTTATTTTTTTTGAAACTGTAACATTTGTATTTCACATAGTACTTAGGTAATACTGAAAAACCATATTTACAAAAGCAGAAAGGAAGTATAATCTATCCAAAAACTGAACCAAATCTAAATGGATCCTAAAACATCTATGATTGCCTCAGTTTCATTGGAGTAGACATTTGTACACCAAAAGCAGAACAACAAAATACGCTTAAGCTTAACTTCCTGCAGGTTGTTGTTCCTATTCTCAAAACATCTCTCGTTTCTCTCCCTCCATATAATCCACCAAATACTAGTAGGGATCATCCGCCATCTTTCTCTGTTTGTAGCCCCAACTCCAGCCATCTCCCAACCGAATAGAGTCTCATCAATCTTGCTAGGCATACACCAAGATATGCCTCTGAGATTAAGGAAAATCAGCCACAGTTGCCCAGTAAAGTTACAATGTAAGAAGAGATGTCTCACTGTCTCATTAGCCTTCCCACTCAAGCAACATCTATTACATAGAGAGATTCCTCTCTTAGCCTCATTATCCAATGTCAAGACTGCCTCCTTGGCTAGTAGCCATGTAAAGCATGCCACTTTGTGTGGCACTTTGATCCTCCAGATTTGCTTCCAAGGCCATTTGAAGTCTTGAATGCCACCGGTAATTATCTGTTTGTATCCTTCTTTCACCTTGTAACTACCTTTGTTGTGCCCCTGCCACCATAAATAATCCTCGCCTGTTTGTATACCTTGACAACTCTCCAGAACCTTAAACAATTCAAGTATTCTGGGAATTTCCCAGTCATTCAAATTTCTTCAGAAAATCAAATCCCAGCCTTGTTGTGTCCACATTTCAGCGACAGCCTTTTGTTGGTGTTTAGCCAGTGTAAAGATGTCAGGGAAACGATCTTTGAGGCTCATACCATCCAACTATTTATCAAACCAGAAACTGGTTTTTCTGCCATTTTGTACCTTGACAGTTGACTGGTTAATGAGAAAGGGCCAAAATATTCTGATGGAATTCCAAAGGCTAATCCCATAAGAGTTATTTACCTCTTTGGTTACCGATTTATTTAGATCCTCATACTTGTGGTTGATCACCCTATACCATAGTGCTTGGCCCTCTTGATGATACCTCCATAACCATTTCACCTTAAGAGCTTTGCGATGGTTTTTTGAGATTCTTGATACCTATTCCACCTTGCATCTTACTTATGATGATGTTCTTCCACTTGACTAAGTGAAAGCCTTTTCTTTCCTTATTTCCTTGCCACAAGAAGTTTCTTCTAATTTTGTCCAACCTCTGAACTACTAACTACGGAATATGGAAGATAGATAACATATATGTAGGTAGAGCATCCAGAACAGAGTTTATCAGTGTTAATCTACCTCCCAAGGAGAGGTATTGTGATCTCCATCAGGCTAGTTTCTTTTCACATTTCTCCACTATTGGGTTCCAAATGTCTGTGTCTCCAGACTTTGCCCCCAAAGGCATGCCCAAGTATACTGATGGCAAAGTACCTATCACTCCTCCCAAGGTTTGTGAGAGGTGTTCCATATCCGGAACCACATTAATTGGATACAAATGGCTTTTGTTCCAGCTTATATGTAGTCCTGATATGGCTTCAAAGTAGACTAGTATAAGTCTCAAAATCAACAATTGCTCCTCCTCAGCTCCACAAAATATTAGTGTATCATCAGCATACTGTAGGTGTGTGATCTCCATGCTATTCCCAGCAACCTTACTGACTTCAAATCCCTGTATTCTTCCAGTTGTCTTGGCTATCTTCAACATATTGTTAAGCCCCTCCATAGCTATGATGAACAAGAAGGGTGATAAAGGATCCCCTTGCCGGACTCCTCTGTGTGCATTGAAAAAGCCTTCAGGAGACCCATTAATGAGTACTGAAAACTTAACAGTTGAAATACAAAACTTGATCCAACCGATCCATCTGCTACAAAATCCCATTTGTCTCAGCATACTTAGAATGAAATCCCAATTCACATGGTCATATGCTTTCTCAATATCAAGTTTGCATAGTATACCAGGTTTCTTCTGGGACACTCTAGAATCAATTGCTTCGTTAGCAATGAGCACTGCATCCATGATCTGTCTGCCTCTGATAAAAGTCATTTGTTGTTTGACTACCACAACTCTCTTCAACCTTTCTGTCGAAACCTTGTACATTAGCTTATGAAAGCTTCCAATTAAGCTGATGGGTCTGAAGTCCTTGAGTTCCTTCGCTCCGATCTTCTTAGGAATCAGTGCTATGTAGGTTGCATTATAGCTCTTCTCAAACATCCCTGTTGAGTGAAAATTGTGGAAAGCCCCCATAATGTCATGCTTAATGATCTCCCAACATTTTAGAAAGAACCCCATTGTGTATCGGTCAGGACCAGGGTCTGTCTATAGCACTTATTTTAAACACTCAAGTACTTCTTGTTCCTCAAAATCTGCCTGAAATGCTTCATGTTTACCCTCTGTAATGGTAGGATGGTTGCTGATATTTCCAGAGGGTCTCCAATCTTCAGATTCTATATACAATTTTTTGTAGAAAGAAATAATTTCTTCTTTAATTCTGTTTGGCTCTGTTATAGTCTCTCCCTGAACTTCCAGTTGATCAATATTGTTGCATCTCTTGTGGGCATTAGCTGTTTGGTGGAAGAACTTTGTATTCCTATCCCCCTCCTTGGCCACAAAGCCCTTGATCTCTGTCTCCAGGCCACTTCCTCCTTCTTCAAACACCCCTCATACTCTATGAAAAGTGTGGCTTTTTTTTCTATCTCCTCCTCAGTTAACATTCTGTTGCTCTGATATGATTCTAACTCAACCATCTGATTGAGAAGGTTGTTCTATTGCAATTTCAGATTACCTTGTTCATTTCTGCTCCATTCTTTCAATTTCCCTTCGAGGGCTTTGAGTTTGCATGCTAAGATGTAATCTGGCTTCCCATAGAACTCAAAATCATTCCACCAAACCTTGATTCTATCAACAAATCCTTCTTGGGTCAGCCACCAATTTCAAACTTAAAATAGGATTTAGATTGTTCCCAATGCCCACATAGCAAGGCTATAGGAACATGATCAGAAGTCACTCTTTGCATAGTAGTTTGCTTTATGTTGGAGAAAAGATTATTCCATTCTGTTGATACCATACTCCTGTCTATCCTGGATGCCGTGATATGGTTATCACCCTTGTACCAGGTATACCTTCCACCACTTAATTGTAGATCAATGAGTTCCATGTCTTCAATGCATTCTGAGAACTCTGTCATTGCTGAGTTTAACCTGTTGCATTCCTTTTTGTTTTCAGAAGGAAATCTACAGACATTAAAGTCACCACATAGTTCATGAATGCAATTACATAGACATGGAAAAAATGGATTGTAGGGAGGAACAATGATGCTCCCACAATTAGAGTTAGCCTTACACTCCTTAGATTGCTCCAATTGAAATCCTAATGTTGAAGAAGAGTCCCAAAAGTCTATTCTTGAACCTTGAGATGTGTTCTCTTAGAAACCCTAGAATTTGATGATAGATTCTTGCTTGGGATACATAAGTATGTGGATGCTCAGTGAGCTGTTATGACAGTGAAATAGATGATGTATGGGTTCTCTATGGAAGAAGAAATAGGAGAAAAGAGAAGAAATTCAGTGGTTCACTTGCCTACATCGTAGTAAGAGCCAGTGATTGTGCCAATTTGCAGGAGGTGCTTATAATATATATTTTGTATTAAGTTAGGTGTCGTATAGATTACAGGCTTTGTGAAAGTGTCTAACTGAAAATTTTGTGACAACTTTAAGGAGCTGTCTATGTATTTCGCCTACCTTATACTTAGTTTCTAAATTATTCAGTCTTAGCTGGTAATTCTTTGTTCTTGATGCAGGGATTCTTTGTTATATTATCATGGATGCCCATTTACTTCAAAACAGTGAGTAACTATTGCAGATTGGTGTCATTATTATAACCTCTAAGTGACTTTAATATATATTTTTGTGATGATAAGATGATTGTAGTGATATAGCTGTATCTGTCCTTTTAGATATATCATGTTGATCTTAGACAAGCAGCATGGTTTAGTGCTGTTCCGTGGAGTATGATGGCGTTGACTGGCTATTTTGCTGGGTTTCTGTCAGACATGATGATCCAAAGAGGCATAAGTGTGACCCTAACCCGGAAAGTTATGCAGGTAAATTTTCTCCATATCCCTTTGTTTTTGTTGTCATCTGGATCGTTGTTTTGATAACTGACCATGTTCAATCCTTCTCCTCGACTTGAAGAGTAGTAAGGTCATATGAAATATATAAAGCCGACAAGGTTGGGGTCATCCCATGGGAGAGAAGTGTAGGTGAGAATTCACTTTTCTTAAAGTAATCCTTGCAACAAAGTTGGCTTTGCAATTACTTGTAGGGATTATAGCTCAAGAAAACTAGAACTTGACTAGGGAATTTAAACAAACAATTGGTATGTAATTTACTAGAGAATTTAGTAAGAAGAAGAGAATGGCACTAGGATTGCTCCTCCTTCCTGTATGCTATATATGGGTATAAGGGTGTCCAATTCTTTTCATGTGACATCAATATCACAAATGATCTTGCCTTTCAACTCCTTGGTTTGAGATCTTGTCAAGGGCCTCATTGAAACTTCCTAAGCTTCACAGTTGTCCTTCAAGGAGTAGAGCTTCTATGGATGCTATCGCATGTGGAGCTAATGTTTTACAGGGACTAACATCTTTCTAGGTGGAGCATCACCTTCTGTTTTCCCGTGCATGCTTTACCCTGGGTTGTATGCCCTATATACATGTAAAGGTTCACGCATGCTTTATGGCTAATGATGAGTGTCCCTTACTCTTAAGAGCTAATTGCTTTTTAGTTTCTTTAATGTATTTGATTAGAATTTTGAATAATGTGTTTTTTCACTCTTAACATAGGATTTGTAGCTTAGTATTTAGTAAGTTGTATTAGATCTCACTTGTGGGATTTCACTGGTATGTTGTATACAGTAAGTTGTATCCATTTTATACTACATGTACTTATAAATTAACTTTATATACTTTTGGCTTTTGAATTTTATCCAATTTTTAATGTATTCCATATTTTTTTTCATAGTTTATACATTTTCAAATTTTATTCTTTAATAAAGCTGAATTTACATAAAATGAGGTCTACATTTCATCTTGGGGACGTCCAGCCCCAATGTTTGGGAAAATGGCCTTTCCCTTGTATCTATGCCTTTAAACATGGACTATCGCAGTTGTAACAGTCCACATCTCTTTACGTGTTAAAAGTTGAATATTTTTAATAGCATGTGATAGAGATGGGCTGTCATCAGAAGCCACTGGTTCTACGGGATAGTCTGGTCAAAGTACAAGATTAAAGCAGCCTTATTCAGTAGTGGAACTGTTGATCTACTTTCTTTCAAATTATTTTTGTTCAATGGTCAGTTAAATCTTGTTGAATATCATTGATATAATGGAATATTTAATTATTGTTTCTTCTTTTTCTGATCTTTTTTTTTTATGCCACACTCGGTAAGACTGTATCAAACACAACTTGTTTGTTCCTTTTACAGTCAGTTGGTTTTTTCGGCCCCGGTTTTTCTCTCATTGGTTTAACCACAGCACCAAGTCCATCCATAGCATCTGCTTGGCTTACTTTAGCTGTAGGACTGAAAGCATTTAGTCATTGTGGCTTCCTTGTCAACCTTCAGGTTAGCATTTAAAGATATATACTTCATGAAACAGTGAAGCAAAAGTTTTCATTTGTGGGAACTGATCTTCCATTTATATATATTGACAGGAGATTGCCCCGCAGTATTCTGGCGTTCTCCATGGTAATTCTTGTCCATTTTCTCGAACTTTTTCCACTTGTTGGAATAGGCTAGTCCTGATCCTGATGTTAGTTACTTGTTCCCATGTCTCTATTTATCTGGCAAACATGAAATAGCATTTTGTGGTTATTGTTTAATGTTTAGTTTATTTTGTTGAGAGGCTTATTCCATTTATTCTGTCTGTCTGCATCCACTTCTCATTTGATGCATACTGAAAGAAAGGGGAACATTTTTGAAGTGTTTACTAGAAAATAAGTAAGAAAAACAGGCCCCTATATCTTTCAGAACTTCTTTTTCTTGGTCACCTTGCACAAAGTATTCTCAAAAGAGACTCCCACAACATCCTCATAGTAGTTTCTTTCTGCTCTCAATTTTTTATTTTTTGGATTACTTGTATTTTTCCCATTAAAGGCTATAAAGCTGCACGACCAGTCAAGAGTTCATGGCACCACTGCCAATGCTGCTGTGATCTTCTTACTCCTTTTTTCAGGCTTTCTTTTTGGTATATCTTTTTACTGGGTTAACTTTGAACAACTTATAAGCAAATAAGTCTACATTAGATGAGGAACTCTGATTTGATTTTATCATTTCAATATGAAAGTTTGCTTCCTTGGCATTATCTGTACAGCAGCTAATGCATTGCTTCTTTAGTACCATCTTATATGGCACTGTTTCCTTTTTGGTTCGAAAAGTCTGAACACCTTTCTATATTTGAGAACTCTTCGATCCAAGATTTCCATTTATCCCTAGAGATATGCTCTTATATAAATTGACATGGCATGTTGAACCACTAGCTATTTTGGACACTTCAGGTAGTTACATAAATTTAGTTTATCTCTCTCTCTCTCTCTCTCTCTATATATATATATATATATATATATATATATATATATATATACACATAAATCTCTAACTGCGCAAGAAAAATCTTCTTTTTCAAATATTAGGTACACACTACTTTTATCATTTGAAATTTCAGTTCTTTCATTATATAATATAATAAGTATATAACAATGCCATATTTTTTTTTTTTTTTTTTTTGAGAATTGGTAACATTGTATTCTTCAACATTATGGATATGCGGGGGACCTTCAGAAAATCAGAAAAGAACAAAAAACATAATACTTACAAGGGTCCTAAGAATTCCAAAAGTTGATCTGAATCCTCTAATCCTATTTCTTTACACCAAAAATATAGAGATACAAGACAATTCCATTTAACCAAGTGAATGGAATTGGATGTATCTGTAAAATTCCTACTAATTCCTACTATTCCTCTCCTTCCACTCTATCCACTAAATGCAATGTGGAATCAAATTCCACCAGGCCTTCTGTCTCTTGCTACCTCCTCTCCTGATCCAACAACTAAGTAAATCAGCTGCATGCTCTGGCATAGTTCATTTCTCTTCTGAAAAGTTGAGAAACATGGACCATATTTGTGCTGTGAAAGTACAATGTAGAATAGGTTATTTGTTAGTTTCCCCTGTCTTCCCACATAAAGAGCGCCAAGGAAGTATGGTCTTTATTTTTTTACTCAAGCATGCCTTTCTAATGATCAACCAAGTAAAACACTTTAACTTTTGTTGGTGCTGCAGTCCTTTACATATTTTTCCATGAACTCCGGTATCTGCTACTTTGCGAGTTGCACTCCTTTTTATATGCCCTGCCAACTGTGAAGATACCATCCTTACTGTGAGACCATCTAACAACATCATTGACAATATTGGTGCCTACAAAATCCCCCACTTCCTCCAACAATTTGGCTATTCCAACCTAGTTCTGTCCAGCAATCACTGATCATTGCCTCGGAATTGGTGCACAAAATAAATAGGTCCGGAAACATGTCTTGGGGGGGGGGGGTTGTTTGAACCATAAGTCCCACCAGAATATAGGTCTCCTTCCATCCCCCACCTTGATATGTAAATTTGCTTCTAACTTGGGCCATAAGTTTCTGAGAGCTCCCCAAACTCCTGCTCCATAAGCATTCGTGCTTATGTTACTACACCAGAATCTATCCTCCCCATATTTTTTTTTGAGATTGGTAACTGTTTCTATTTCTTTAAAATTAGTGCATGGGTTGTACTGAAACCATATTTACATAATGAACTCTAAAGGCGCTGTCCTATCCCTATAATGAGTCTAAAACATCAATGATAGAGACTGTCAATAGAGTAGATCCGATTACACCAAAAACACAAAGTTAGAATACAATTCAATTTTACTTGCAGCACATTGCTCTCCCTATTCTCAAAAACTCTTAAGATTTCTCTCTTTCCAGACAGTCCACCAAATAGTAGCAGGAATGATTCTCCAGTTGCTTCTGTTCTTTGCTTGTAATCCTGCTTCTTCCCAACTGTATAAGGCCTCTGCAATTCTACCAGGCATGACCTATGAAATGTTTTTGAGCCTTAGGAATAGACTCTACAATTGGCCAGTGACCTTGCACTGGAGGAACAAGTGATTGACTGTTTATGCATCCCCCCCCCCCCCCCCCCCCCACAAAAAAAAATAAAACCATCTTGAACACAATGTATCCCTCTTTTCATCAAATTCTCCTTTGTCAACACCACTTCCTTTGCCAGTAACCACACAAAACAGGCCACTTTGTGTGGGTGTCACGACACAAGAGCACCCCCTAGTTGTAACCGGCGTATTCAACCTCTCGGAGGTCTCATACAAGCCACATGGATCATTCATTGCATACGATACTTAAAAATAGATAAGAATTTACAACTTTCTTCACATACAAAGAATACTTTCATTAATAAGCAAGCGGAAGATTTTCTAAACTTTATACGACGTGTCTCAAAACCATCTAATAACCTTTGGAGTACAACATTTGGGACTAAGCCCATACAAGACTTAAAATGAAGACTAAAAGACCATAAAAAGGAACATGGGGGTCTTGTCCTCGAATCTATGAGGACTCACCAACTTCATCTTCAAACCTTAGAAGCTTATGCATCATCCATAGCATACCTAAGTGTTCCTCAAAGTCACCCTAGATAAGAACCTTTCTATTCAACATACTATCATTAGGAGAACATACATTACTTAGGTCATTTAGGACTCAATCATACAATCAGAGGACTTCACATAATGGCCTTGGAAGACCTAGGGAACTCACTTTAGCATCTTCAAGCCTACTCGTGCCATGTGTAGATAGCATCCCATACTACTACCTACACGTCGTAGAACCTATCCAATAACTAGAGTGCACATCCCACATGATGAGAATAGGCATTAACCCCCTAGACCATACTAGCTAGGTATGAAATCCGGTGTCATAAGATCCGACACCGTGGAAGGTGTTCTACTTGCCAAAGGTAGAACTAGGACACATCCCGTGTAGGCACATGGTTATCAAAAGGCTTCTTTGTACTCTAGTCTCATACTTCAAGTAGAGATACTACCTTAAGCATATCCACTCGGTGATTTGCCTTGGTTCTCATAGAGTAAGTTCATTCACATAAGAGTATTAGAGAAGGTACCGTCACTAAGCTTACCAACTCATAATACCATTTCTGAGAAGGGGTCCACAAGGGCTGCTGATCAAGGTTCATTAGGATGTCTCATTCATGAAAAAAATACCATGCCAGGTCTATCTGATTCACTTCATTATAAACCTTCTTTTCATATTCAAGGTTTGCACATTCACTTAGGTTCTAGACTTATCAAGAAGGGGCACCATTCTTAGGTCTACTGGTTCAAGACATACTCTAGAATACCTCATTTATCATTCAAGGAAGGGCACCAACTTAGGTCTACCGATCCTAGACTTTCTTTCATTCATTCATTCTCAAGAAAGGATGTTTACCAAGTCAAGAGATCACATTCAACATAACTTTCATGTATCAAGTAGGGGCAACTAGGTCTACCTAATCAAGACACCATATCAACATGTAAAGACTCTTCATAGTCTATCATAATCACATACCAATATTTAGAGGAATATGCTTTCATTGACAATATCACATAGCTTTATACAATATCTCCTCAAGATCACATGAACACCTTCACATTAATATATATATATATATATATATATATATATATATATATATATATATATATATATATATATATATATATATATATATCACCTAATAACTTCACCTTATACGTTCATGTGTGCCATAACACCTTGTACATAGTCACATTACTTCACATAACCAACTTCACATTGTACCTTCATATATACCATAATATGATACTACTACAATTCACATAATTATGCTGACAAGTGCATGGTCACAATAAGAACAAGAAGTAAACACCGTCACCATAAGTGGACCATACAACACGAGCAATTCTATATCAATTCTACATTAGTAAGGACATTAGGTCAACTTACCCTTTTCCAATAGCCACAATCACCATTCCTTAATCCTCCATGAATTCACAATACAATAGCATAGATAACCATAGAAATCAACAATACAACATAAACTAAATCCAATTCTATTAACATTAGATCATAAGTAACAAATCCAATTCATAATCCAAATTTAGGAGTTTCGAGAAGATCAAGAGTTCATGGAGATTTTCATTGTAAAATATCAATTTAACATCAATAATATCATATCCAATCATTTGAAATCGTTTCATGCAAGAACCGTTGTGGTAGAGTGAAAATAGAACTTTTACATAAACTTTGAAATCAATTGAAATTGGCTCTAAGGTGATAGCTAACCTTAGATAAAAAAACTCTCATACCTTATTAGATGAAATCCCTTAGAGAATTGAAGAAGAAAGCCATAGAAATCTACAACCCTAGCTCCATCCTTGACCTTGAGCTTCCGTGGAGTTTTGAGAGAACTCTTTTAGGAGGGAAGAGTTCTGATTTTAGGAAAAGTAAATAATGAATTCTAATTCTAGGTTTTAGTGTTTTAACCAACTTAAAATACCCTAAATAACATAAAGTAACCGTTCCCCCATTTATTTAGCCAAGGGTGGAATTTACCAAACCACCCTTAGCTTGGCTGGAACTTGATGAAATTGCAG